ATAATATAAAAATTCCAATAAATTAGACCAAAACTGTGTATATTTAATTTTAGGGATAAATTTTTTGACATGACCCACTAACATGACACAAATATGACATGACAAATTCGCATTCAGATCAATTCATTTTCGAATTTATATTGTGTTACATGTCAACCCGTAAACACAATATGGTTCTTGAAGGCCAATAATAATAATAATAATAATTAACTTAAAAATATTCTATTGAAGTTACAAGACAATATCCCCTATTATTATAAAGAAACAAATTAAATCAAAAGTTTAAGCGGTTAATTGAAAACCTTTTTAGTGGTTTAAAATTATTCTCTAACATGCCTCTTATATGAGAGCTACTGGGCTTGAAAGGTAGACAAGGTGAGGATCAAACTCGTGATCATTTGGTCACGGAAACTCTGATACTATGTAAAAAATAAATTTAACCCAAAAACCTAAACCGTTAAGTGGCAGTCTTTTTAATGATTTATATTATTCTCTAACAATTATCTCATCAATCTCATCAATCTCAAAAGATGGATTGCCTCGCATGGTTTACTCTTTTTCTGACCATTATTTTCATATTTAAAAAATTAAAATCAGAATAATATTTCTGCAGTTACTGTAGATATATGATCTGCATTTACTCTCAAAACGACGTCGTTTTGGGATTGAAAAATTAAATAATTATAATTATAAAGACTATAATAATCCTGAAATAAATTAAAATTATAAAAACACCATGATTTCTGTCCTAAAACAATATCATATTAGGCTTATTACAGATAATTTATCTACAGCAGAAAAAGCGAATCCAATTAAAATCTCAGTCAATTGTGAGAACAATATTTCTAGTGGTGATAAAATAGCCTAGAGTTCAAGTCCACATGATGCAAACGAATCAATATACAATATGTCTTCACGTTTCCTATGTTTTTTTTTTTTCTTTTTAAGAAAATAAAAAACAAAACAAAACAAATGGCTACCCCTTTGTATGTCACTTTGGAAAAACAATCAATTCTTCAGCTAGCAACTTTAATAATGAGCATGGAGGTTGTCCTCCATGCTTACAATCAAAACCATGTTCGTTTTCAACTCTCCGGACCAGTATGTCCCTTGTAGTTGCAATCATGACGGAGTCATATATATAATATGAATTGCTCTCCTAGCAGAGGAATAGTACACTACGGACAAAATAGTGTCAAATTTTGTAGGTGGTGATCATCCGTTGCGAAAAGATGCACATGTTCTAGCCATATGAGATTCTCTTGTACCTAATTTTGGTCAAGTGTATATCCATGAAGTACCAGAGTATCAACTAATAAGGTTAAAATCAAGAGCTACAAAATTAAAACAACTAAGGAGGAAAAAAATAAAAAACACGCAGTTAAAATATTTTGATCTATGATCTCCTGAATGTGATTCTGTTGGTTGTTGTCCAATGAAAACTAAAATGGTTTAACTGTTCTGTGTGTCTTTGAGCTGAGCACTTTTTGCATGTGAAATATGTTGATGGGGTGAAAACAACGGCTGTTATAATCATAAAATTTTCTGCTAGTATGTTTAAATCTTTGAAAAGGTGGGTGGGACAATAAATTCACTATTCTAACCTCATGCTTAATGATTATTTATCTATGAGCTAGGTAATTGATTTTGTCTCCCACAACCATTTAAAAGCACAAATTTGATAATCTTAATAACATGACTATGAAAACCATATTTTGGTGTAGTTGAATTATGATCTCTATCATGATGTGTTTCGCCTTTACTCGCTCCTCTTCTCTTCCCCCAAATAAAAGGAATTTCATATTTCAGTGTAAGCTAATTAAGATGCTAAGCAATAGATCTTCGAATTGGTTAGGCCTGAATTATATGACAGTGACAGTCAAAGGGGGATCTCTACTTAAAACTACATAGCTCATAGTGACAAGCAACTGGATCCAACACCATGTATGATTTCAGTGGTACAACTCCAACTGAATTGGAAAAATGGGGCAAATCCGAAACTATTATAGTTTTTTTTTTTTTTTGTGAATAAACCACTAGTATCCTCGGGAGGCAATCGTGTTTGAGACGGATCTAAGATTAAGAGTTTAAATCCTCCCAAAAATAATACAGAGGAGGATCGAACACATGCTTTGGGAGTCAAAATACACCTGGAATTAAATTTTTGTGTTATGTGGACTTGAGTTCCAGAAAAAAAATCTTTATAGGTCATGCATACAAAGGGTTTATTTTTATTTTATTTTTGGTAGAGAACAAAGGGCTTTTTAGCTAATAGTGCAATAAGTTTTCTGAAAACAAAAATACCCTTTAAACAGACCGAATTTCAATTGGGCCAGAGAGTTAGTCCTATGTGTTTGGGCCAAGGCCATGAGCCAGACTCTACACCGTGCAATAAGCGATTGGAACAACTCATCTGACAAGCCCAACATAAAAAAAAAAAAGAAATGTAATTAAGGAGACATGAGAATTCTAAAATAGAGACATCAAAGTAGTTAACAGAGAATCCAAACTTGGAAATCACAAGAATCCCCCCACTTCTCTCTTCGTTGAAGGTTATGATATCCTCATTCGAGTTTTTTTATCGCAAGTTATCCAAACGAGCTTCTGGTTGTATGATTGCGATGTTCTTTATAGGGTCTAGATGACGAGGAAAGATTGCGTTAGTAGATGGTCAATTTTGTTATATTAATCCATTTGAGTCACAAAAAAATATCCACCTTTAGTCACTTATAAAAAAAAATTAGTCGGTCCTTATAAAATTTAAAGTGGATTCATTTTAGTTCTTTTGAGGGATTAATGTGAGTCTTTTTTTAATTTGTGAGGAACCATAATTTCAATTTCAAGTAAATGGGTCCACTTTGAATTGCTTAGAGATCTCAGAATTAATTTTTTTCAAGAGACTAAAGTGAGGATCATTTTTTTTTGTTAGGGACCCAAAAAAGATTTTACTGTAAATTTTATAATTTGAATGGAATAATAAATAGATAAAATTGGTCACGCGATAAATAAATTATAGAGAAGTTAAGATTTTATAGAGATGGAGAACTCTAATTTCATAAATGGAATGGTCTATTAGTGTAATTTAATAATTAAAAATTAATTATGATAATTTTAAAATTTATGGTGGCATTTGTAAATAAGCCAAAACTTAGGAGATCTCTATTTACTCTCCCCTTAATTTTTGGTATCAATGTCAAAGGATTTTTTCGGAATACGAAAATTGTCAACGTATTGATATTTTTAAATTTCGTTAAAATATATTGTACAATACTCTTAAAATGTATTATTAGCACGTAAAATAATAACAAATTCTATAAAATTTGCAAAGATATAGAAAAAAGAGCTTCTAATCAATATCTGGGGAGCTTTAATTCATCCAATAAAAAAAAAATAGAAACCCAAGAAACATGCAATGGCTTTGTAGCATGCCATTGTCATGACTATCAACATGATGTAAAAAATAATTATTACATATTTATAGTTTAAAGAAAAGCTTTCTCTTCAACCTATTTAAGATATTAGTGGGAACTAAAATATAATAATTGTAAAACAGATGTTTAAATAAGAAGCATATCCGTACTATATAGCATTTTCTAATAAACTAACTTTCTGGCTCCAATGGGGGAAGGGTACAACTAACCCTTGTAATATGGTCTTGTAAAGAAATTAGAATGACCAATTTGCCTTACATGATATCATTATACGGTTATATTTATCTCATTTAACATGAGATAACTCATTCTTCTACACACACATAACAAAGATGAGTTTCACTTTTATTTTTTCTTTCTTCAATTATTTGTGAGTCCCTCTTATTATTTTGTTTCACTAATATAAGATAACTTATCTACGTCAACGTAAGAAAAATATTTCCCATATACATATGATATGAATTGCCACGTTCTGTTTTTCAATTGTTGAGCATTATATTAGGGTATATATATCAGATATTCAAAGGTAATGAATTTCCACGTGCGAGACCCCATGGAAGCACATGACCGGGGTCAAAGCCAAAAAATGGAAAGAACAGAAAGAAAGTAAAGAGAAGAGGCCCGGTTTGTTAGTGAATGAGTGGGAATGAGTGATTTTAGACTGGCTTTGGTGATAGAGAATTGAAAGGAGAAACTCTGACTCACACATGCACCAATAACTCAAGTGAGAGAATAACTAATGATCATTCTTTTGTTCCTTTCCTTTTATAATATATATAGAGATGTACTCTGACACTTATTTTCTTAAACAAGAAAGAAACTTTTTCTCTTTCTCTCCCTTTCATCAATCTCAACTGAAAAACTACTAATCATTAACGACAACATGGGAGGCCTCGAAGATATCAAGAGGGAGACCGTGGATCTCGTAAGTTTTGTGTTTCTTTTTCTTTATTCTTTCTATGTGTTGTCATATATTTTTATTTTATTTTTTGTTATCACAATGCAATGTGCTTGCTTTGCAGGAGCGAATACCCGTTGATGAAGTGTTCCGAGAATTGAACTGTTCCAAGGAAGGTCTCACTAATGAGGAAGGCCAAAAGAGGTTGCAAGTTTTTGGGCAAAACAAGTTGGAAGAGAAGAAGGCAATCATCTATTCATTCATTTCATTCAAAACTATTCTAGACTTGATATATTTCAGTAACTCACTTCATAACATTAACATAACATCATTGAATAATTACTGATTTTTGTACAAAAACGTTAATTATGTCAAACAGGAAAGCAAGGTGCTCAAATTCTTGGGCTTTATGTGGAACCCTCTCTCATGGGTCATGGAAATCGCTGCTATCATGGCAATTGCATTGGCAAATGGAGGAGTACGTCCTTCATATTTCTAAATAACGCTTTTTGCTTTTTTTTTGTTTTTATTTTTATTTTGGCATTCTCTTGTCTCATTCTCTTCTGAAACAACAGGGCCAGCCACCAGATTGGCAGGACTTTGTAGGAATAACAGTGTTGCTAGTTATCAACTCCACCATCAGTTTCATAGAAGAAAACAATGCAGGCAATGCTGCTGCAGCACTTATGGCAGGTCTTGCTCCCAAAACCAAGGTATAATAATATAAACTTCACTGTAGGCAAGGAGTTTCTAGCTAGCTAGCTAGCTTCCCTTATATAGAAAATAATACATCTACCAAATAATGATAGCTCAGTTGGCGCTAAGGAGGTTCGATTCTCCTTTTAGGAGGGGTTTAAAGCCTCAATCCCGGATCTGTCCCGAATCGGACTAATCACGAAATGATGAACTGATCGGAATAATTGGAACATGTTTTTATTAGCTAGCTCACAAGACACATTAGATTATTAATAATTGTAACAGATGATACATGTTTAATGTTTTACATGCATTTGTTCTAATTGAAATGTGGTTGGCAGGTTCTGAGAGATGGAAGGTGGACCGAGCAGGAGGCTGCTATATTGGTACCAGGAGACATAATCAGCATCAAATTAGGAGACATCGTCCCAGCTGATGCACGTCTCTTAGATGGAGATCCCCTGAAGATCGATCAATCTGCACTCACTGGTGAGTCTTTGCCTGTTACTAAGAACCCTGGTGATGAAGTCTTCTCTGGCTCAACAGTAAAACAAGGAGAGATTGAGGCTGTTGTAATCGCTACTGGGGTACACACCTTCTTCGGTAAGGCTGCACACTTGGTGGACAGCACTAACCAAGTTGGTCATTTCCAAAAGGTACTAATATCCCTTGCTCCTCTATATTGAAAAAGTTAAGAAATTTTAGCATTAACAGGGAAGGGTAATCTAAGCTTGCTTCCCATGCTTGTTTTGCTCCTAATGTATGCTCATTTTGTCCATTGAGTTACATATGTCTCCTGAAAAATATCATGCATTGTTGTGGTTACTTGTATGGATTCAGTGAATGTTATCCTTCTAGCAGTTTTAACTATGCATTTTCGGGAATACATAGTTAAAAACTGCTAAAAGGACATGAGTTTGTGTCCTTTGAAAGGATACTCATTTTTCCCTGCTCATAAAGATGATGCTATAGTAGCATGGGCAAGTATCATTTTTGTTTTTTTGCCTTTTCTTTGTTTCCAACTTTACTGATAGCATTTTGATGGTTATGATCAGGTGTTGACAGCCATTGGTAACTTCTGCATTTGTTCAATTGCTGTGGGCATGATCATAGAGCTTGTTGTCATGTACCCGATTCAGCACCGCAAGTATAGGAATGGCATTGACAATCTCTTGGTGCTTCTCATTGGAGGGATTCCTATTGCCATGCCAACAGTGTTGTCAGTGACAATGGCTATTGGTTCCCATAGGTTGTCCGAGCAAGGTGCTATCACCAAGAGGATGACAGCCATTGAGGAGATGGCTGGGATGGATGTTTTGTGCAGTGACAAGACTGGCACTCTAACACTGAACAAGCTTACTGTAGACAAGAGTTTGGTTGAGGTAAGCACATGACAGAAAAATCACTATTTTAACTGGTTATTTATGTATGATTTTGGAATGTCAATTTGATGTTCAATTAATAAATTCTATGATTTAGTATCAGATTTACTAATCATGGAAGCGATTTGTCCTCATTGCAGGTTTTTTCAAAAGATACTGACAAGGATCAAGTAATTTTGCTTGGAGCTAGGGCCTCTAGGGTAGAGAACCAAGATGCTATTGATGCTTGCATTGTTGGAATGTTGGGTGATCCAAAGGAGGTTCGTATAGTTGCCTGCTTATTATACAAGTAAAAGCAAGATTCTAAAAAACCCCTTCGACTAGCGAGTGTGGGGTCGAAGAAATTCTTGTACGCAGCCTTATTCTTGCATAATTGCAAAGAGGCTGTTTCCTAGATTCGAACTCATGACCTTTCAGTCATGAAAGAATAGTTTTACCACTGCTCCGGTTCGCCCCTTTAAAAGCAAGACTCTACATGAGATAAAATCTTTGAACAAAGAAAAAAAGTATATACATTCATAAGGTCTTCTAACTGGCCTAGTGAAGGGTTTTTAGCTTTCAGAAATCTTCTAGGGTGGTTCTCTGAACAAGCATATGAAACTTTAAACTATCATGACCTTAGGTTTTTTTATAGATTATAACTGCTTTGACAAACTTCTCCTGGTTTCTACAGGCTAGAGATGGAATTACAGAGGTGCATTTCCTTCCCTTTAATCCAGTGGACAAACGTACAGCAATAACATACATAGACACTGAGGGAAATTGGCACCGAGTAAGCAAAGGAGCACCAGAGCAGGTAGATACATCTTTTTAGTGCATGTCTCTTGTTTCCTTGTACAGTGTAAACTCATATTGAATATGCTGCCAGATTATCGAACTTTGCAATCTTCGTGAAGATGTGAAGAAGAAAGCTCATTCCATTATAGATAAATTTGCTGATCGTGGTCTTCGTTCCCTTGCTGTTGGAAAACAAGTGAGTTGTGGTTGTTTGAATTGTACCTGTCTCATCACGTAAAGAACTAATTCAACCTATAAGGTTAATCTTTTGAGTGAGGGTCTTTTTATAGGTTTAATTCCACTAGAAAATGAAGGTGGTGAGGATCGAACTCGTCATCTTGTGATCATTGAAACTCTGATCCCATGTAAAAAAACTAATTCAATCCAAAAGCTTAAGCTTATAAGCTTTTGGGTAAAGCCTTTTTAATAGTATATATATGTTTTTAAGTCATGAATTGTGTATACTTGTAGGAAGTACCAGAAAAGAACAAGGAGAGTGCAGGAGGACCATGGCAATTTGTGGGTCTGTTGCCTCTCTTTGACCCACCAAGGCATGACAGTGCAGAGACTATTCGTCGTGCTCTCCATTTAGGAGTGAACGTTAAGATGATTACTGGTGATCAACTAGCTATTGGGAAGGAAACTGGTCGCAGGCTTGGTATGGGAAGTAACATGTACCCTTCATCCTCACTCCTTGGAGAGCACAAAGATGAGTCTATTGCTGGCCTTCCAGTTGATGAACTTATTGAGAAAGCTGATGGCTTTGCTGGAGTCTTCCCAGGTAAATAATTTTACTAGCTTTACTGTTTATCAAGTTGATTTTAGATGATAAACAAGACTTGAGTTCATTGATTAAAATGATTTTTGAATCATGTCAAATCCAGAACATAAATATGAGATTGTGAAAAGACTTCAGGACAGGAAACACATATGTGGGATGACTGGAGATGGTGTGAATGATGCTCCTGCACTTAAAAGAGCAGATATTGGAATTGCAGTGGCTGATGCAACCGATGCAGCTCGAGGTGCATCTGATATAGTCCTCACGGAGCCAGGTTTGAGTGTCATTGTGACTGCAGTCATGACAAGCAGAGCCATTTTTCAGAGAATGAAGAACTACACAATATATGCTGTTTCTATAACAATCCGAATTGTGTTGGGCTTTATGCTTCTTGCTCTCATCTGGAAATTTGATTTCTCTCCTTTTATGGTTTTGATCATTGCCATACTTAATGATGGGACTATCATGACCATTTCCAAGGATAGGGTGAAGCCATCTCCTATGCCAGATTCATGGAAGCTGAGAGAGATTTTTGCCACAGGCATAGTGCTTGGTGCATACCTAGCTGTTATGACTGTAGTCTTCTTCTGGGCTGCTCATGCATCTGACTTCTTCACGGTAAGATAAAGAGATTCAAAAAAGGGGCAGGTTAAATTTAGAGTAAAGTACGCGCCCATTTTAATCCCTTACAAAAAAAGTCTATTTGTGATCCCTTTAAAATTCTGAGAAGTCCTACGATTATTCCTTCAAAAGGACTAACATAGGTCTATTTTGAATTTTTAAACGAGGACTTTTTTTTTCTAAGAGAGTTAAATTGAGCCCCGTAATATTTGTTGAGGACCCAAGAGATATTTTACTCTTAAATTTACAAACTTTTTTGTTTACAAACTCAATTATGTGCTCCAGAGAATACACATAAATATTTGTACTCTCCGGACTATATAGTTGAGTTTGTAAGAGTTGATAAACAAAAACTTTTTAAACATAACCTTTCCCTTCAAAAAAATATATAAAATTTTTTGCAAAATTGATTTCATTAGGCTTAACCTATATATATGAAAATATTGGCAGGACAAATTTGGCGTGAGATCTATCAGGGACAGTCACCATGAACTGACAGCAGCTGTTTACCTTCAAGTGAGTATTGTAAGTCAAGCTCTCATCTTTGTTACTCGGTCAAGGAGCTGGTCTTACATTGAACGTCCTGGAGTCCTTCTTGTTGTTGCCTTTCTGATAGCACAGCTGGTGAGTTGTCATAAAATGGGTTTGTTTTTTTGCTGATATTGTTTTGTATTGCCTACAAAAATATTAATAAGGGTTGGTATTTGTTTTTATGAAAAAATTCTTAGATTGCCACAATCATAGCTGTGTATGGAGACTGGGGCTTTGCAAAAATGAAAGGAATTGGATGGGGTTGGGCTGGTGTCATTTGGCTCTACAGCATTGTTTTCTACATTCCCTTGGATATCCTTAAATTCATCATCCGATATGCATTGAGTGGCAAGGCGTGGAATAATATTACTGAGAATAGGGTAACATCTCAATCTCAATATGTTGTATACTAAATGGAACCATATAAAATGCTTCAAATATGTGTATCTCTCTGACCATGTTTTTCTATGCTGTGATGAAGACTGCTTTCACATCAAAGAAGGATTATGGAAGGGGAGAGAGAGAAGCACAATGGGCTGCAGCTCAACGCACACTACATGGCCTCAATCCTCCTGAAACAGACCAAATCTTGAATGAAAATAATAACTACAGGGACTTGTCTGAACTTGCAGAACAGGCTAGGAAACGTGCTGAAGTTGCAAGGTAATGTCCAATGAAATGCTCATATGCATTTTTATTTATGGGTTTTATATTTCTCATGTAATATAAGAAAAGAAATTTTGTTACACACTTTTTGGTTTTCGTGTTAACATGAATTTCACACGTAACTTTTTCTAACATATGAGTCACACGTGACTTTTTTCTCTATGGCATAAGAAGGCTCGTCTGGTGTAACATGAGAAATATAAAACTCTTTATTTATTTTTATCTTTTCTTATTTAAAGCTGAACACAAATCCATTGTGGTCCATTTGGTTTACAGGTTAAGGGAGCTTCACACACTGAAGGGGCATGTCGAGTCTGTTGTGAAACTCAAGGGACTTGACATTGAAACAATTCAGCAGCACTACACTGTTTGAGTGACACGATGTCCTTTTTGAAGATAGATAAAGAAGAGAGAATAGATAATAGACATTTCAATATATTTCCCTTGGTATCTTTTGGATTTAGAAGAATGCAAGGGCGTTGAAATAATCCAACACTTTGAGATTGTGCAATACAATCCAAGGTTGGGCTGCAGAGACCTGAAGTTTTTTTTGCCGATGTTATTATCAATTTATCATAGCACTATTCAATGAAAGTTTACTATCTTTGCTTTTTCCATTGCTACTGATATCCTAAATAGTACTAGTATATTGTTTTCGAAGCGGAAAATAATATAAGAAGAAGAAAGTGTAATGGTTGTTCTGATCAATTTGTCACTCCCCAGAATGATAAATGTTAAATTCGCCTCTCTATTTTCATGATCATCGGGTGTGGATAAACATAAGTAAGATAAACATAATTGTCAACATCCCTTGCCAACAAAATTTATCAATTTACCTTAGCAAAAAAGTGCCAACTTACATTAAGGCAGAATTTTCACGATTACCTTCCATCAAAAAGGTAAGATTCACGAGTTCCAGAGAATTAACATGATTCGCATCAAACGTTTCTTTATTAAGCTTCATTAATAACATCCACCAATTATGCAGATGCAGTGAAGAATGCAGATGCAAATGTGGTGGAGAGCACGTGACTTTATTTAGTTGTTTAAGTTATGTGCCAGCTGTCCTAATTGTAACTAACTAGGATTTAGTTAGCTTTTAGTTAGTAGTTAGCTTTCTGTTATTACTTTTAGTAGCTCAGTTACTTAGTTTAGTTACTTAGCTTAAGAGTTCTGTATATAAGCCTTTGAGGCTTCATTGAATATTACTTTTGCTATTTTACATTTTCAATCAGAAATGTCAATTCATAAGATGGTATCAGAGCTTTGAGCTCTGGTACTCACCATTCTTCCGCTGTAAATTTCGAGTTCTTGAAAAATGGCACATCAAGGTGCTCTTCCAGATTTCCTTACAAATCCAGCAAATGCTTTCTTTCTTCATCCTAATGAAAGTCCAGCATTGGTGTTGGTTAATCCGGTTCTTGATGGAAAGAACTATCACAGCTGGACAAGGGCCATGACTATGGCGCTTCTTTCAAAGAATAAGCTAGGCTTCATAGATGGAAGCATCGAACCTCCACCTGCTGAGGATCCTTCGTTTAATGCATGGCGAGGATGTAATACCATTGTTCTTGCATGGATTCACCGTTCAATTAACGAGTCCATTGCAAAATCTATACTGTGGATAGAAAAGGCTCGTGATGCTTGGATAGATCTTAATGATCGATTCTCGCAATCTGACATATTTCGAGTTTCGGATCTGCAAGAAGAAATTTATAAAATGCAACAAGGAGAAAGAACAATCACTGATTTCTTTACTGATCTGAAGACTATATGGGATGAATTAGATAACTTGAAGCCACTACCTATATGCAGTTGTTTTAATCGGTGTGCATGTGGTGGATATCAACAGATGCAGAGATACAGAGAAAGAGATCATGTCATAAGGTTCTTGAAAGGCTTGAATGATCAGTACTGTCATGTTCGATCACAGATCATGCTGTTAGATCCATTGCCAAATATTAATCGAGTCTTTTCCATGGTGGTTCAACAAGAAAGACAGATGCTTACAAAAGGGCATTTCGATGCCATTGTTGAACCAAAGGTATTTTCCACCAACTCTGATAGAGGAAGAGGACGTGGAAATTATGGCCAAGCAATAAAAGGTCGTGGAACCTATAGTCAAGGACGAGGAAATGGTAAAATATGTACTTTCTGTGGGAGGCACAATCATACAATAGATACATGCTATCGAAAGCATGGATTTCCTCCAGGTTTTAAGCCAAGAAATATGGCAAATCATGTTGCTTTGGATTCTGATGAGTTCATGCCAGATCCAAGAATTGTTCAAGATTCAGCAGTTTCCATGTCTCATGAACAATATGAGACTTTATTAAATGCACTGCATTCATCACAGGTCAACTCAGATGCAGTGATGCCTTCATCAAACCATGTTCAAACATCTTCTTTGAATGCTGATACTTCTAATAAGCCAGGTAATCAACCAATTCAGTGGCTCCTTGATACTGGAGCCACAGATCACATATGTCATGTTCAATCAATTTTCACCAATCTTCATAGAATTTCACCAATTTCTATTTCTCTATCTGATGGCTCAGAAAGCATAGCATCATTTGCAGGAACAGTATATCTTTCCCCTCATCTGATTTTGATTAATGTTCTTTATGTTCCTACCTTTCGAGTAAATCTGATTTCTGTTACAAAACTAACCAAAACTGTTCCATGCTACCTCATTTTTCATGACTCTTTTTGTTGTATCAAACAGAAGCATACCAGAGCAATGATTGGTTTAGCTGAGGCTGTGGATGGACTATACATGATGAAGATCTCCCCCCAGCATTTAATTTTCCAGAATAAGCCATATGGCAAAATTACCAATTCCACTGTAAACACTTGTATACCTCAATACCCTTTAGCCAACAATAATGTACCTAGTGCTACTGATGCTTCCTTACTTTGGCATCTTAGACTAGGACATATATCTCATATTATTTTGAAAGAAATGTCAATACAATTTCCTTTTATTCCCAATGTCCATACTGCACCTTGTGATGCATGTCAATATGCTAAACAGAAGCGTTTATGTTTTCCAATAAGCAATACCAAAACAGAAAGGCCCTTTGAAATGATACATGTAGACATTTGGGGGCCATATGCAATGCCTTCCATACATGGGCACAAATACTTCCTGACAATAGTAGATGATTTCATAAGATACACATGGACTTTCCTCATGAAGTCAAAGAATGAAACCCGAGAGAATCTTCAAAGCTTTATTAAGCTAATGGAAAACCAATTCAATACTTCTATTAAAACTATCAGAAGTGATAATGGATCTGAGTTTCTAATGGAAGGATTCTATAAATCAAAAGGGATTCTGCATCAGAAAAGCTATGTTGAGACACCTGAGCAGAATGGTACTGTAGAAAGAAAACATCAGCATTTGTTAAACGTTGCAAGAGCTCTCATTTTCCACAGTAAATTTCCACTGGTATACTGGTCCTATGCTGTAATGCATGCAGCTTTCTTAATCAATCGCTTAGTAACTCCATTACTGAAGAATAACAGTCCACATATGTTGCTAAACCAACAACCAGGATCTCTCACAAGCCTCAAGGTCTTCGGTTGCTTGTGTTATACATCAACAAATGTGTTTGGTCGCACCAAATTCTCCCCAAGGGCCAGAAAAGCAGTATTTCTCGGATATACAGATAGGATCAAGGGATATGTTCTGCTTGATTCAATATCACGTTCCATTTTTATTTCTAGAAATAAATTTTCTTTGAGCATTGTTTTCCCTTTGTGGATAGCAAAATCTTAAACACCATTCCCACCAAAGCCACCATTCCTATCCCTCATACAGAAATCTGTTATCATCCGCTTCCTATTGATATCACACTACCTAATGTAGTTCCCACAATTCCTGAACCTGATATACCAATCCCTATCAACCCTTATGCCCCACGAAGACGTTCCACCCGCTTACATCAACAACCAAATTACTTAAGAGATTATCATTGTAGTCTTTCTACCGCAGCAATACCAAATCAGTCTTGCTCAGGTAATATTCCTATCTCTTCTGTTGATTATCCAATTTCTGATGTTGTATGCTATAACAAATGTGCTCCTTCATACAAATGTTTCTGTTTAAACATAACATCACATAGTGAGCCTCAGTCTTACACACAAGCAGCAAAGTTTGACTGTTGGCAAGATGCCATGAAGAAGGAAATCAATGCTCTTGAATAGAACAATACATGGGTTCTGGTTGACTTACCACAGGGAAACGCACTATAGGGTGCAGATGGGTATACAAGATCAAATTTCATGCAGATGGCTCAATTGAGAGGTATAAAGCCCGACTTGTGGCTAAGGGCTATACACAAATGGAGGGAGTGGACTATTTTGACACCTTTAGTTCAGTAGCCAAGATGACAACCGTGCGCATGTTACTTGCCATTGCAGCAGCCAAAAACTGGTTTTTGGAGCAATTGGATGTAAATAATGCGTTTCTTCACGGTGATTTGAATGAAGAGGTGTATATGGATGTGCCTCAAGAACTTCGAGTCTCTGGTTCTCACAAAGTCTGTAAATTGCAAAAATCTCTCTATGGCCTTAAACAAGCTAGTAGGCAGTGGTATTCTCGATTGACCACAGCTCTTCTCTCTTTGGGATATGCCCAATCATCTGCAGATCATACTCTTTTTATTTTACAGAAGAATGATAGCTTCACTGCTTTATTGATCTACGTTGATGACATTGTCTTAGCAGGAGACAATTTCTCAGAAATCCAACGTGTTAAGAAATTTCTTGATGCTGAATTCAAGATTAAAGATCTGGGCACATTACGTTTTTCCTTGGTTTAAAAAGTGCCCGCTCTAAACAAGGAATTGTTGTTAATCAACGAAAGTATACACTTAAGTTGCTTTCTGATAGTGGACTCCTTGCCACCAAGCCTGTTTCTACTCCATTGGACCCTTCCACAAAGCTTTCTCGAGACCTTAGGTCGAAGCTGTCAGATACAGGTCCCTATCGAAGATTGGTTGGGAGACTTTTATACCTTACCACCACTCGCCCAGATATTGCCTTCGCGGTTCAACAGCTAAGCCAATTTATCTCATGTCCCACTGATGCCCATTTCAATGCTGCCACACAGGTCCTCAAATACCTTAAGGGTGCACCAGCTAAGGGCCTCTTCTTTTCTGCCACAAATGACCTCACTCTAACTGGTTTTGCTGACTCAGATTGGGCTTGTTGCCCAGATACTCGTCGGTCCATTACAGGGTTCTGCACATTTCTTGGTCCTTCACTACTTTCATGGAAGTCCAAGAAGCAGACGACAATATCCAGGTCATCCTTTGAGGCTGAGTATCGCGCTCTTGCAGCTCTCACTTGTGAGATTCAATGGCTGTG